TGGACCTGTACCTCTCACCATATACCAAAATGAACTCAAAATGGATTAAAGACTTAAATACAAGACCTGAAACCATAAAATTACTAAAGAGAAATATAGGGGAAATACTTCACGTAATAGGACTGGGCAAAGACTTTATGAATAAGACCCCAAAAGCAAAAGCAACAAAAGAACAAATAAATAAATGGGATTATACCAAACTAAAAAGTTTCTGCACAGCAAAGGAAAAAATCAACAGAGTGAAAAGACAATCTATGGAATGAGAGAAAACATTTGCATCCAATTATACATCCAATAAGGGATTAATATCCAGAATGTACAAAGAAATCAAATAACTATACAGTAAAAAACCAAATAATTCAATTAAAAAATAGGCAAAGGAGATGAATAGACACTTTTCAAAGGAAGACATACAAATGGCCAACAGGTACATGAAAAAATGCTCAGCATCACTAGTCATCAGAGAAATGCAAATCAAAACCACACTGATGTATCATCTTATCCCAGTTAGACTGGCCATTATTAAAAATACTGAGAATAACAAATACTGACAAGGATGTGGGGAAAGGGGAACACTTCTACACTGTCGGTGGGACTGTACACTAGCACAGCCATTATGGAAAACAGTATGGAGGTTTCTCAGACAACTACAGATAGAGCTACCACATGATCCAGCAATGCTACTACTGGGTATATATCCAGAGGAACGGAAATCATCATGTCGAAGGGATACCTGCACTCCCAAGTTCATTGCAGCTCTATTTACAACAGCCAAAATATGGTACCAACCTAAGTGTCCATCAACAGATGACTGGATAAGGAAAATGTGGTATATATATATACACAATGGAATACTACTCAGCCATAAAAAAGAATGAAATTCTGCCATTTGCAGCCACATGGATGAATCTAGAGAAAATTATGTTAAGTGAAATAAGCCAGAGAAAGAAACAGAAATACTGCATGTTCTCACTGATAACTGGCTACTAGGAAGGAAGGGAGGGAAGAAGGGAAGGAGGGAAGAAGGAAGGAATGAAGGAGAGAACAAACCTAAGGATACTAGAGATAAGGAGAGGGAGGGAGGGGGTTTGTGAAGTGATAGGTCGGGCAAAGGGCATAAAGAAATATCATGATTTGTAAGAATGAATATGCTAATAATAAATAAAAATTTTAAATAAAAAAATAAATAAAGGCATTGATTCACTTAATTCTCACAAAAATCCAATAAGTCGAATATATATTACCCTTATTTTATAAGTAAGAAACTCAGGCAAAAGAAGATTAAGTAATTTACATGCATATTCTATACATCTCACCAAAATTTTTATCTTTAGTATTTTCCTGTGTCACTAAAAATCCTTCAAAAACATTACTAGTGGCTTCATAATGTTCCACTGTATAGACGTATCATAATGTACTCAACCATTCCCCCTTCACTGGGAAATTCCGGTTGCTTCCAATTTTATACTATTATAAATAGCCTTGCTATAGACCCCTCTGCATGGAAGCCTTTGCCCACATTTTTTATTATTTTCCTGGTATAAATTCCTAAAATAATTAGTGGATAAATAAGTATTTGTTGGATAAATAGTCAAATCTCCATTATTTTGCCTTACAAGTTTTTCTTCTTGCTCTTATGCTTACAAAGTCCTGGTATAAATTCCTAAAATAATTAGTGGATAAATAAGTATTTGTTGGATAGTCAAATCTCCATTATTTTGCCTTACAAGTTTTTCTTCTTGCTCTTATGCTTACAAAGTTTCTCCCCATCACAAGGATAAATGAATACTTGCCTGGGTCTTTTTATGCTTAATTTTATATTTAAGTTATATATATATTTGAATTTTGTTCTGATGTATGAGATGAGCTGTAAATATATTTTTTCTCCAAATAGCTAACCATTTTTTCCAAAACCATCAACGGAATAAATCATCCTTTTCCTACTAATTTTTGTTCCTTTGTTGCTATATATACAATGGATCTTCAAACACTTCGTGGAAATATTTTTACTATCTTTTAATTTCATTTTTCTATGAACTTTTTGAAGTACTCTCATATGTGTGTAACACACACAGTTTTCTCCCAACATCCATTTCTGATCATGTTATCTTTTCCCACTTGTTGCTTTATTTTTTTTGTCAGGAGGCAGTGAAACTTTGGGGGGAAAATAATAGGCTCAGCATTGTGACTGCTGAATTTAAGATGTTGATGAATCATTCAGATGGAAATGTACAGTAGGACTCTAGAAATACAAACTTTTTACCTAAAAGATATAGGAACTTTATTTGAGGGTGAAAAGATTACTCAGGAGAACTCAGGGAACAGAAGTGAGAGCCCAGGAATGGAGCATGGGAAAACCAACATTTCAGGGGTGGGAGGAGGAAAACAGCCACGTGACAAGGAGCAGTCGGCCAGGTAGAGGGAGGGAAGGAGCAGGGAGAATGGAACAGTCCAAGCCTTGGGCAGAGAGTTTCAAGCATCATCATGAATAACACATATTTCTTGGCTAAAATGATCAAAACAATAATATAATATTCTACTGAAACCCTGAGAAACAGAAACATATTCTCAAATTCTTGGTTTGTTATAGTTACGAGAAGCAGAGTCGGGATATCAGAGCATCATTATACCATCTCCACAGGGCTTAGAGAAGGACAACTGTCTAAACGTTCTACACATTTAAAATTTACTTACAGGTAAATCACGGGGTCTTAAAATCTTCTGAGTGACAACATTTTACTCTGGGAGTTTTGGTATAATTTTGCTCACATACTAAAATAGGTCCTTTAAAGACAGAAACATTTCTGAAAAAGAGGTAGATCAGTTCTATCGAGAGAATAACCCATTTAGGCTATTCAAACCGTGAGTCTTGTAGGCTCGGAAGAAGAAAAACAAATCTAGCTCTTGAAAAACTGTATTTCTAGCCTTTACCTGCCATTTAGTTAATGTAAGCCAAACTCTCAACGCTCAAATGTCCCAAACACCTTCACTGTTTTATTCATAGGCTTCTTCTTTGATGCATGACAAGAAGTGTTTCAAAGCATGTTGGTATTTTAGTTATTTTGAATTGTCTCTAATATTTGACCACATTTAGGCACAACTGAACAGCCTATTTACAGAAAACATGCCTACCTGTAAATGGAACTAAGTGTTTCAAAGCATGTTGGTATTTTAGTTATTTTGAATTGTCTCTAATATTTGGCCACATTTAGGCACAACTGAACAGCCTATTTACAGAAAACATGCCTACCTGTAAATGGAACTGTTTCTAAATATGAACTATAATGAGAACCCTGCTAGATATCACATTCCCAGCTGGAAAAATCTGAAAAGAACTGAGCTTATGCCTAGTCTCTTGATAGTAAACTACCAGGTGGGAAAAAAATGTTTTGAACTTAGAAGGAAAAAGGTAGAGGAGTGACAGACTGCATTCCATTTTACCTGTCCAAATAGATACTCTTTTATTTCTAGCATATCTGAGTCTCTGCCCCCAAAAGAACTCATGTTTATAACTGAAAAATTGTCTCTTCTCAAACAAAAACTCTTTTCATAGATAGATACTCTAAGCTGGAGAGAAAGAGAGAGAGAGAGAGAGTGTGTGTGTGGGGGGGGGTCGTGGGGAGACCCCTCTACACCTGTCTTCTCCCAGAGACCCAACAGCAAATCAAAGATGACCCTGGATATGCTTTGCAGGGATGGAAGTCCTCCATGGCAAAAAGCACAAGTAAGGAAAAAGCTCTAAGATGAAATGCTGTTCCAATATAATCAAAGCCCCAGGAGAGACAGACACATTTCCCAAGGTGGACTTTGAGAAAAGTATAACTCTGCCCCTGCAAGCCTGACGGTGCTCAGTTTAACCAGCTTTCATTTGTATTTAAATGTCTGAAAGTAAGGAATTCACCCATGTCAATCCCCATTCCCATACCCCACCCTCACATCATCAATATGTATACACATTCCCTCCAAAGGTGGCAGAAAACCCCTCACCCAGTTGATACTACAGGTCTTGGACAGACGATGAGTTGTTTATTAGCCCAAATGTTTACACTGTTCCCTCCATCCTTTTCTTCAAAATACAGCCCGTTATATGAAAATATGTGCTACAAATCTTGCTGAATGGTACGCTGGGACCTGTCATTCCTTGGGGTCAAGTAAAAATGAGTAGTTAACTCATTGCATATTATAGTTGACTCTTCATTATTGACTGCTTCTTAGTTTTCAATAACTGCAATCATTATTGACCTTACACTGTAATATCATGTGATATATGCTGATTGCTTTCACTAGACTTCTCCTCCTCTTTCATTTATCTGACAAACTCCTACTTGGCTTCTCAAATAGCTCAGACACCACAACTTCTAGCAACCCTTCCTTAACCAAATGTACCCCTACCTAACTTCTCACAACAGTTTTTACTGAATTAGGTGACCTCCTCTGGGTTCCCAAACCATCCTCTGCATATCACCTTCACAGGAGTAATCACACTGTACTCTATTTGGTTATAGGACTCATCTCCCCTACCAGTTTTTTAACTTCTCAAAGGCAATGATCTTTGCTCATCTTTATGAACCAGTTCACGGCAGAGTCTGGTACTTAGCAGGCATTCTAAAATGCTTGTAAAATGAGTGAATACATGTATGAATACGTTCAGACTTAGAGAATTACAAAGTTGGGTCTTCAGAAACATTTAGTCCATCCCACTTCATGCAAAATTCCCTAAACAAATATTTCCTAAGAGTTGTATCAAGATATTAAAACAAGGAAATCATTACCTATATTCAACACAAATATTTTCTTTTTTTTTTTTGACCGGTAAGAGGATCGCAACCCTCGGCACGGTGTGGTCCGCACCACGCTCAGCCAGTGAGCGCACTGGCCATCCCTATGTAAGATCCGGACCCGCGGCCTCAGCGCTATCAGCACCGCACTCTCGAGTGAGCCATGGGGCCGGCCCAACACAAATATTTTCTAACGAAAATATAAATAAATAAAAACCTTACCGGCAAAGTTCCAGGTAGAGATGCATCAAAAAAAGAAACCAAAGAATTTGGAGGTGCTGCAAAGCGGACTTGAGATCCAGAGAAGAGTTTGGAGTTGGACGAAATCTGGGCATGAATTTCCAAACCTACCAAAGCTGCCCATTCGTGTTTACTAAGAAGAAAGAGATAAGGATTAAGTAGTAGTTACATCTGCCATCATGCATAAATTTCTACGAGCCTAAACCACAAATGTTAATTTCCTGTTTTTCATTTACTAAAATTTTATATCTTTTACATTTTAAAATGTGTCATATTTTATTGGTGACTAAATCAAAAGCAATTCATAATGAACACCTACAATGAGACTGGCAAAATGAAATTCATTTACAAGGTGGCATTAGAAGGTTTGCTGTACAGACATGAAGACAATAGGGAAAGGAACAATTTGGCATCTTAAAACAATTTAGAAATGGGCATTAGGTGACAATTGCTTGGACTTCTGTGAACAGCAGCATTTTCTAAATTAACCCTACCTTATCAATTAACCACTCACTAAATGAAGAAAGCTGATCTTTAAATGAACATAAATGTCAGGATTCTACCACTACAGAAATAATGGTAAATAAATAGTTCCACATTTCACTATTGAAAAAGGAAATTCTCAACCATGTTTTTAATTCATTCTATAACAATGGCTAGCAATCATAATGACCAGAGTGACATATGTGATAGATCACCACTAAATGATACTCCTGAAAATTTTGTGCAAAGGAAAACATTAAACCACCAGATGTGGCTTTTTTTTTTTTTGGTCCCCCAAATCAGTTCCAATTCCTGAGATCTAATTTCAGGTTACTTTGTTCATGCTTGAGTGCTATCAAATCCGTTAAATACTTTAATATAATCTCTCTTATATGGCCATTCCTATTCTGTACACAGTTCTCCCCAGGTTCTTATTAGTGTGCTCTTCCCTGTGAAACCCATGTATCTTCCTATTCTGCTCTTCTCCCAAGCATTTTCTGTATTATTTAGATTTCTGTTTACATGTCTTGGGTTTTGTTTCAATCATCTCAAAACATGAAGTTCTATATCTAAAGTACTGCAAAATGATAGAAGCACAGGACTAATTGAGAGGCATTAAACTAAGAACTCATCAGAAATTCTGTATTCACTAAAGCATTATTCAAAGTATTTTTGCAGTTTCATTACACTGAGAGAAAGATATACTTTCTATTCACAGGGAGACTATCTAATTTACGAAAAGAATAGAAACTGATTGCTTCGGGACATTTTCCCTCAGATTCTCCAACTGAAAAGCAAAAATAATGCCAACCATTCTCAAAGAATAAACAAAATATTAGAAACGTGCCTTTTGTTTCTGTATTGAAAAGAAACTACTTAAATCTAATATAGTGAAGCATAAACAGCCTTTCAGGGGATAACAAAATAAGCAATACTCTCTACATAACCAGAGGGAATGTTTCTTCTATTGGCTGCATCCTCCTAGGTCTAGACAGACATGTTCAACTTAAAACGCCTTCACAGATAGCTGGTGTTTTCTGACTGACATTAAGCCACCATTACCGAGCTTGTAGGTAAAGGGTCCCTTTCTACCTTTAGAACCCTGTTGGCCCGTAGTAGCGCTAAATAAATGTCAGCTAAATATGACCCCGCTTCTAGTGTCACCCACCCCGCTGCTGGTGCCATTAGTAAGGTTACTGAGTCCGCTCTTCCGTCTGTACAGCCTTCGATTCAAGAAAACACTTGCTATTTTACACTCGCGAGTTCCCCAACAATGGTTTATATATGGGGGCGGGGCTGATATTGGGCTTGTTATATGTTTTCATTTAGATTTCAGGGCTGCAGATTACAGCCCAACACCCTCTCGCCCGCCAAAACGTTTAGAGGCTGGGCTGCAATGGCCATCGTCTCCCCGATATCCCGATATCACAGTTCCACTTCACACTTAGGTGAGCAGTAATGGTACGAAATAGTATACCCTTTCCTCGGCTTCTGGGCCGTGTCGAGGAGCTGCTGAGCCCCTGAGCTCTGTCCCCTCACTCGGTTGGACGCAGACCCAGTCGGAGACCCTCTTCGCTGGCGAAAACCGCCATCACCCCAGGCTAAAGCCCAACGTCTTCCAGGACTGCCCCAACGCAGCATGGGCGCCGCCATTGCACCACGAGTCCTGGTCAGGTGACTCAGCCTCCCTCTGTCGCGAGGCTCCCTGGGAAGCGTAGTTCCGGAAACGTATAAAACCTCTACAAGGCTCGGAGCGGAAGACTACTATTCCCGGGGAGCATTGCGACTCGAAGGCCGCCGGAACCCTGGCGGGGGCGGGGCGGGAAGGAGAAATAAAGGAGAAGGGTGGGAGGGTTTCTGGGTCGGGAGGCGTGACTCCTCCTAGCGGGGAGTGGGAGAGGTTGTGGCAGCGAGCATCGTATAACTTCGTATAATGTATGCTATACGAAGTTATTACGTGAATCTACTGGCGAAAACCGCCATCACCCCAGGCTAAAGCCCAACGTCTTCCAGGACTGCCCCAACGCAGCATGGGCGCCGCCATTGCACCACGAGTCCTGGTCAGGTGACTCAGCCTCCCTCTGTCGCGAGGCTCCCTGGGAAGCGTAGTTCCGGAAACGTATAAAACCTCTACAAGGCTCGGAGCGGAAGACTACTATTCCCGGGGAGCATTGCGACTCGAAGGCCGCCGGAACCCTGGCGGGGGCGGGGCGGGAAGGAGAAATAAAGGAGAAGGGTGGGAGGGTTTCTGGGTCGGGAGGCGTGACTCCTCCTAGCGGGGAGTGGGAGAGGTTGTGGCAGCGAGCACGTGTGTGGGTGTGTGTGTGGGTGTGTGGGTGCGCTGCGCGCCAGAGTTCCAACGCCGAGAAGCGTGGCTGGGATTTTACACCCCAGGTAACCTTGACATCTTAAGTAAATGACCTTGACATCTCCACGAAGACTTCTTGAACCTACAAACCCACTCAGTTATTTTCTCTGTTTACTCTCCCTCTTCACGCACCACTTTGTGTCCCTACTATATACCAGGCACAGTTCTCAGGCACCGGAGATGCTGCAGAGAGCAAGACAGTTATGGCCCCATGTTCACGGAGCTTCCATTCTAGGAAAGAGACATGCGGAAAAGAAGTTAACAAAAATAAGATACTTTCATGTAGTTAATGAGTGCTATATTTAAGCAGAGGTACTTGGAGACAAACGGACCTAGACTGAATACCCATGTGCACTTTTACTTATCCCCCTTTTGGTCTTGACCGGTATCTGAAACACTCTCCTTATATGCTAGCAGGTACCATCACCCTGAGTGTATTTCTTTTGTTTTCCGGCTTCAGAAGTCAGACCCCTTGTTGAAACTCCTGTGGATTTATTGTATTTGAATACACGGGCTAGAGTAGCCATTCAGCCACTCTCTATTTTATGACCCTATTTTCATTCCCCACATAGTGCTCCTCTTCTGTCTCCACAAGCTCCTTTTTTGTCTTATTCACCACAGTATTTCCAGAGTACAGAGTACGGCCTCAAATTTTTTTGTTGAATGTATCGCAATGTGGAGAATGCATTTGACCAAGGATGGAATGGATGCTCTTTGGAGGAGTAGTTGTTTAGCAGAGAGATGATGTATTAGGGTGGTGGTGCAGGCGAAGACAAATTGACCTGTTTGAGATAGATTTAGGAGGTAAGATTGAAGGACTCAGTGATGGATTGGATATGATGGGGGAAGACTGGGGGCGAGAGGTGGGGAAGGGCAAATAATTCCTGGATTTCTGGCTTGCACAACTGGATGGCTGATTGAGTTATTCACTGAAATAAGGAAACCAGAAAAGGAACAGGTTTGCAAGGAAAATATGGGAGTTTGGTTGCCTTGGAGACATCCAAGGGGAGAAGTCAAGTAGGAATCATTGGAGCTTAACTCTGAGTATAGAGCCGGGGAAAAAGCTGTATACTCTGCATACTTCGCACTGATAGGTTTTCAGTTATTGATCAATAACCTATTGATTAGATGGCTGTAACCTTTAATCAATTTTCACTAATACTCTTGTACAGTTATGATATTATGCAATTTAATTCATGCATATATAAGAAGGAAATTTTACTCTCCTTAAAATGGTCATCGTCTACTTTTTCTATCTTTTCTACTTTTTTATCCACTCTCATTGATCCAAATTTCTACACCAGAAATATTTTCACATTACCAAGGATGAAAATGAGACAAATGACAATGCCTGGAAGGTAGCGGTAGAGAGTTGTTCCAGAATTTATCTCTAATTATTGCCCTTTGTATCAGGTTCAGGTCATTCTTTAAATCGTTTATTAGGGTTTCTCCTCTGAGTTACCATATTTTCTACCTTCGCTCTAGATAAGCTTGCTTTTTCTTTCTCATTTAGCTCTTCGGATTTGTGGCCCAGACTGCGGGTCAGGAGAGTTGCCTCTGAGCATAGCCTGGTTTCACCTTTGGCAGGAAGGAATACAGGAGAGAAGGCAAGCCTGTATCTCAGGCCAAAAAGAGAGGGAGACCCTTGCTAACTTACTACTGGTAATCAGCATACTTAGGCAATTCACTCCTTCCCAAGGAGGGTTGCAGTGTTTTGAAAACCACCATAAGGGAGAGTAACACACCTAATGAAAACTCTAATTTTATGGTGAAAATGCACTATAATGGAAACTCATCATGTTTATAAGCAGTATTACGCAATGACAGGCTATCACTTCAAAGGTCCCCACCCCACCACTAGAGGGAGAGAAAATCTTATGCGTGTAAGTATATTTGATTCCTTTTACAAATGGACACCTTCCAATTTGATGCATCTTACATCTAATCATGGCCCTTTCAAAATCCTGAAAGACCTAATGGTGAAAATAGGGAGTCGTCATCCGCGTCTCTGGCTCCTCTCTCTTTTAAGATTGTCTGTCATTTCCAGAAATGCTTGTGGGTTTCCTTGTGCTTGGTCTGGTGTCTAGGAGTGTACTGTTTTCCATGCACTCCACCTGCCTTGCTCCTTAGCTAGTCAGATGCTCCCACTGAACCCTCCTTCCGTGGGACCATTTCTTCCCTTCCTCCTGCATACCAAATCTGATATCTGTCAGAACTCTTACTGATAGACAGCTCTCTAGCTGAGAGAGCTATTTTGGTTTCACTGACAAGGTGGCTGTCATCTGGAAGACACAGAGATTTTCATTTTCAAGGAGCTCAGAAGATAGCAGGACAGACTTTCTAGCAAAAACAACATTTCTTAGGGAGGGTTTCTCAGCCCTTATTTTATCCACATAATTGACACAGTACAAATAGATTTAGAACAAGTTTTTAAAAAGACATGTAAACCAGAGCAGAATGTCAAGTTGTTACTTATAAATGGCAATAGTTAGGAAGTATGTCTAAAATAACATGCTTGGTTTTGTTCAGTATTCTTCAGAGACTTTTTGAATGTCAGAGTTGGAATGGATTTGACTCAAAATTCTCAGGTATCTATGTAAACACATTGATCTCTGAACACAAATTATTTTCCCCCAAATCTGTTGTGTTTTATTGTAATCATTACCTTTTTCATTCTCTCACTAGTTTGTGATAGGGAAATGATATAAAACCATAGTGCTCTAGGGTTCGTAACTTCTTCAGTAACATGGGTACAATGCGAGGCAATACTACAGGTGTTTCTAAGTTTCCATTTTAAAAAATGAAATAAACAATTATAATGGAAACATTAAAATTTCAAGTGAAATTAAAAGGGGATTGTTCCTATTATTATGGCAATGTTTCTCAAAATCTATTTGTAGACCATTTGAATCTTAGAATTGTGTTAACTGAGCTATTTTTTGATTAACTACTTTTGTCCTGTAGAAACAAAGACAATGCTTTAAAAACATTTAGCAGACTAATAAGCAAAATGCTGCTGTTGTCTAACAGAGGTGGATGTGGATGTTTACATTAGTATTTCTTAGTACAGTTGTGAGTTTGATCCCTCTGTTAGCTGCCAGTTTCCACCTGTTCTATAGAACCCAGACTACTGGCTTGAAATTTTATGCCACGTGGCTAGGGAGGGCAGGTGGATAGGTCAGTATAACTTCCCTAAGAAAACAAAAACAACGACAACAAAAACCTACTTAAGATAATGTACATATGACAAAAATTGACAGCCTAATTTTCAAGTACAAAGAACACTGGGAGAAACAGGAGGTTCTGTTTTTGAAAAAGATTCTGAAAATATAAAGTTCCGTTTTAGAAAAACTGCATTTAAAAACCCAGTTAAGTGTTATTAGGAGAAAAAGAAAGACTGGGAATACATGCATGCTGAGCAATTGGGGGAACAAGATTCATTTCATTTTATTTTACCATTAATGTCTTGATTCCGATAAAATACTGATGTAGAGGGAACAATTGCTTTCTCTAGAAGATTTCTTTGAGGCAATGAAATCTATAATTCTGTCTTCCTTTCCAATGCAAGGAAATAGAATACCCTGTCCAATGTATTTGTAGAGATGAAATGCCATTTGGGGGGCCGGCCCGGTGGCGCACTGGATAGTGCGCCGCTTGGGAAGCGCGGCGGCGCCCCCGCCCGGGGGTTCGGATCCCACATACAGACCGGTTCCCTCTCACTGGCTGAGCGAGG